ACAAATAGACGTTGCAGATAGGAACATCTCTTTGTTTAATCCACAGATCGTTGTTCCGTGTCTGGGTGTCATGTGTATGTGAACTTGTATGTTTGTAAACGCACCCACGACACAAGAGAAAATCGTAGTGTAGTCAAAGTTTTTACAAAAAAAAAGAAAAAGTTTTCTTTTGACCTGAGTGCCAAACACGAATAACTATCGCATTCGTAACGTAATAGTATCGAGACATCGAAACGTCATGTGACGAAAACGGAATATCGCAGCACGAAGCCTATCGTATCGTCTTTGTCGTGGAGAACCTAACGGGTAACCGGGGCTCCGACTCGACGTGCATGAGAAGGAACGGGGTGGTTTTTAGTCAGTAAGAGTCTGACACTCCCTCCCGTCTCACTCAGGCGGGAGCAGTCATTCGATGATGTTCACCCCTTAAAAAAAAATCGTATCATCTTTCGAGAGCTCGAATCAAATTCGTTAATGACGTCATGCTGATGTCAAATAGAGAAGCACCCAAGTGAACGAATTGTATGACTTGTTGAACAAAATTTAACATAAAAATTACGTCTGAAAACTAAACCATTTTTTAAATATTTTTCTACTTTTGTCTGCACGTTTTATGATATAATATTGAATTTAGAAATATTAATTAATTATGTTAAAAAAGTTCTTAAAACGAGTAAAAAAAAATATAAAGTGACTGTATCTACGAAAAAATAAATAGATTTTTGTTAATTGAAAACATAATTTACGATTTGAAATAGAAATAAATAAAATCAACATGAAAACGAAGTGTGCAACGTGCAAAACTATACGATGGTTGCTACTACAGAAGTGACTCATCACATACATACAAATAGGTAACACAATAATTATACAGCATATTAAAATTTTGGCGTAGCACGCTTAGCGAAATATAAAAATAAAGATGCTACGAATTGGGCTACGGTGCTACGAAATCGTAGCCAACACCCAATTTGCGCGGCGTAGTAGATTTCTTATTTCTTTAAATTAAGTTAAAAGTAATAACTTATAACTTAATTCTCAATGGTCTCAATGGTCAGTAGGCGTAAATACGATAGTCGCGGAGAACCTAACGGGTAACCGGGGCTCCGGCTCGACGTGCAGGAGAAGGAACGGGGTGGTTTTTAGTCAGTAAGAGTCTGACACTCCCTCCCGCCTCACCCAGGCGGGAGCAGTCATTCGATGATTTTCCCCCCTTAAAAAAAAAAAAGGCGTAAATACGATAACCAAGCAAAGAGTCTTGGGTGTGATTCGCGGATCAGTGAAAGCAATATTTAATTTTTCGGTTTTTTTTCAATACTCTAACGTTCATAACACAAACTTAATTATGCCTGGTGTATGTTAATAACCTTCTTTCCTAATACAAAAGTTGATGTTACTTTGTATATTTGAACCTGCCATGTATGTGTGTTTATTTTTTATCGCTTTGTTAGATAATCATCGAGTCATCTGTACGAGAATATCCCCTTTTCGGTTTCATATAAAACATACTTACGTAGTTCGACCCACCATTATAGTGTGTATATCAATCTATTGTATTATACCTAATGACTACAGGTAATTAGAGTGATGCGTTCATGCAACTAAACAACTAAAGCATTGCTTTGTGTCCGTCTTCTTGTTTGTAACAAAATAAACGCTTGTTGTTCGCATGTCTATTAGCACTATTAACTATTGGTTAACAAACTGAATTATTCATGATTTGTTTATTATACGTACCTGGTTGGCTGCGTGGCTAAGTAGTAACTTATCATCAACATCAGTAGATGAAGGATCTAAACCGCTAAAGGACTGACTGACAGGCAAACCTATTATTATTTTTGTAATTTAATGTGTCTTATTGAAAGAAAGGTTTTTTACAATTAGTATGTATTTGTCACTATATACTAAAATTTGAGTAATTTGTGTCTTTATATCTATTTTTTGTCTGATTTTTTTTATTTGGTAAGCTGGTATACAGTCGGACTGATGACCTGATGTACTTTTTAAGGTTATTTAGACACCACTGACAAAAGGTGAAGGAAAACATCTTGAGGAAACCTGGGATTATAATTTCAAATTAAAAGTTTAGTTAAGCCAACCCGCATTGAGTAAGCGTGGTTAATTGTGATGATTAAACTGTCAAATACCAAGCGGTCACCGGTGACCGCAATCTATTATTCTATATTTGTGTCTGCAAAACCGGTACTCGACGAGTTAATTTTGAAAATTGTGGTGATTAATGCTCAAACCTTCTCCGTGCGAAGAGGCCTTTGGTCAGCCGTGGCCATTTATAGACTTATGATGATTTTCTTAATATGAGTATGTTAACTTATAAATTAGGTTGGACTTAAAACACAATATATTTTTACCATCTCTTATAGTGACTAACGACAGGGTATACAATTAGAAGTTGTTCATTAACTTCTTATAAATATTTTAGTATGCGTTATGGTACATATTGCGCGCCTTGTACTAATCAAATGAGTAAGTCGATAATAAAATATTGTATGAACTGCCTTGGTTGGTCGATCTAGTGTCGTGAAGTTGAAAGCGGTTGCTAGCCAAAAGTTTCCGGGTCGACTTGAGCTCTTGGCTTATTGAATTTGCAATGTCAAAGTTCTTATAGTTTATATTCATAGCAAGAAGTTTAGTACTTGTGTTATCTATGGTTGTAGGTAAATGGTTTTCTTTATATTTATAGCTACATTGAGAATTGAAATATTGAATAGTTTTGAAATTCTTTGAATTTGTTATATGCAGGTGTAGAATACCGTAACGTCGCGTCTTGGATAGTATATTAACTCGTCGAGTACCGGTTTTGTAGACAGAATTATAGAACAATAGGTTGCGGTCACCGGTGACCGCTTGGTGTTAGACAGTTTAAGCCAGAACTGATAATTTTAGGTAATACATACATTTTGAACTTTGTTTTGAAATCATCGACCAACAGTTCTTTATTGTTGGTCGATAGATAAAACGAATAAAAGTTTAGGAGTGGGGGCTAAAACGTCATTGCTACGTATAAAACGTACATAGAAGTGACGTCACGCGACATTTTAAATCAATATATCGTCGAAGGTATTCGTTTCTGTAAGAAAATTAAAAATACGTGTCTAATGATTTAAATAATCTACCAAACGGATATTAAAATAAAAAGTAGCCATCTACCCTATTCTACAGTTCAGAGTTAGCGAGCTCCTATGCCACATTAAATTCATAATTATTTTATATTTCATTCAGCATTTAATAATGTAGATAGGTTCCACGTATGTTTCATAAAGTACCTACACATACCTACATATCAAACCATACTTATCTAGTTTCTCATGATATCGCTTTGTATGATTCTTCTGAACATTCAAGGGTCAGTCCATACTGGTTTTTCATAGTTTGATGTGTGGCCGTGTGTACATACTTAAACATATATGTATATACGTGAAAAATTTGCCTAACAGTGCAATTAACACTAGGAATAATAATTTTAATTGATTATTAGTTACTATAATTAGTTTCGAAACAATGTAGCCATTCGCGTGTGGAGTTGCATTCAATCACAGATCAGATGCAATTTTGTAATAAATCCTGCTTAGAAAAATATTACGTTTTTGAATAATTCAATAATGTTCATACGTCAACGAGATAATTATTTTAAGACAAGGCAATTAGGTAGATATTCAGGTATCATTGTTTTTTCTCCAATTAATTATAATTTAGTTTGTTTATTCACATTGTTTATTGGTTTTTGTCATTATGCAGTTTTTAGCACAAATATGCCGCTGCAATTTATTACTGAATACTACTCGCGAAGGTTGTAAGATAATACTGAAGAATAGATATCTAATTATAATTTTAAAAGCTTAGTTTTCTAGTTGGGATTTATTATACAACTTTCTTTTTTATTCTTTTCACACTATTTTTTGTACTTGAAATAGAAGTGTGCGTTTTTGCTTATGTTTGTATTAGAATCTTTCTTGTCTTTTTTTTAAGGGGAGAAAATCATCGAATGACTCCCCCCGCGTGGGTGAGGCGGGAGGGAGTATCAGACTCTTACTGTCTATAAACCATCCCGTTCCTTCTCCTGCACGTCGAGCCGGAGCCCCGGTAACCTTGTCTAGTATATGTTTATACCTAAACACAAATGCCAAGCACATTGCGCCTGGATAGTAGCAGGCATAATACTATGTATATGTACCTACTTACACATACTTCTGAAAATTCATTTACGTAGGTAAGTAGGTAATTATTTTTAATTAGATAAGTCATACAATATTTTCTCACCTTATAAACCTTCCCTGGATTTCCACGAACAATTCAAGACCAAAATTAGCCAAATCGGTTTAGCCGTTCTTGAGTTTTAGCGTGACTGACGAACGGAAATTGATTTTTATTTATATAGATTGATATATGGAGTACGTAACACAGAATGTCAGCGATTTAATAATTTTGATGTGCAGCACAAACATTTCTTTAATAGACACAAGGATCCAACGCTAATTCGTGATTTAGAAAATGTGTAAGTGGGTAGATTATTTATTTATTGCCTCATTAATTATAATTGCTTATAAACTACACTAAGCACTAAATCGAAAAGCAATTGTAGATATTGTTAATAATATTCACATAAACAAACATCATTATAATTTTATTCGCATGCCGAGTTCTCGACTTTAGTTAACAGTTGTTTAATATAGCCTACTATTTCCTTGATTTAAACTGGCTAATCGTTAAATAAATTTTATTACCATAAAATTATAGTTAGTAATAGTTATTCGCATGTCGTTAAATAAATAAACACGCCTCATTAATCCTATTTCATATTTTCCAGACAAATCCTGTACATGCCAGGTTTATTTAGATAAAATATTAAACTAGGACACGAGTACGTTCGCTTGCATAATCTGTGCAGAACAGAATGAAAGGAACAAGAGCGCGGGGGCGCATTCATGTCTATGTAGCTAGAACGTTACAGCTTTTATATAAAAGAAGCGCTGTGTTTCGCAACCATTCGAATTTGGAATCTCGGCGCGAGGAACGCTGGGAGACGGAACGCACCCGTATTTGCGCGCGAAAAGTGACAGATCTTATTGTTTTATTTTTCTCTTACCATAAACAATTAATAGTTCGACAATATGGCTGTTGCTAGTGCTAGAAATATTGTGAATTTGAAAGAAAAGGGGCGTTTCGAGCTTGAAAATGCAAGGATCAATAAATATACGGTAAGTACATGAAAACGAATGGAAAATACATACACAACTGCAACAATAAATACTAATAATACTATGTTGTATTCACTGTACTGTAGCTTGTAATTAAAAGAAAAGTATGCTTCAGAGGGTACTCAAAAAATTAATAAACATACCGTTAATAAACGATTATTAAAAATATATAGGTATTCTATGTTTAATAATTGGTTCATTAGCGTAAATTTTACAGTACCGTAACGTAAATTTACGTATCTATTGTATTTAAAACAAATACTATTTTATTATTTTATTTGCCGTCAATAATGTTATTACAAGATTGACATATATGCATTTCCTTTAATAAATAACGTACGGTACCTATATAATCAATATAAATTTACACAACATTAAAATAATTTAATCAATCATCCAGTTTCTCATTTATTTCTATTCGAAAATATTTGCGTATGTATGTATAGGCAGGTATTTTAATAATATTACCTATATTGAATTGTTATTCTCATTGTTTACGCTACATAAAATAGATTTTTATTCCCCAGTCTTAAGTAACAATTTCCTATTAATAAAACAGATGTTTCACCTTGATGTCCACTGTCCGTCTAGAGTTAATTTATCTAATAATATATGTACCTATCAATAACATAATAATTGATAACTAGGTCAGTGTTATAACTGTGTTGCAGCTATTATTCCCATTATTAATAATTAGACATTGTATCTTATTTTATGATTTACATATTTCTTATATTTTATGCGGTTCCCTTATTGATCAACTAAGTAAACGCCTTGTACATTGTTATAAAAAAACTAAGTAGATAAAAAGTTTTCATTACCATCTTTTATAATTTATGCCTCAATTTTTTTTATTACAATCAAAGCAAAGGAACTAAGGCATTCATCCTAAAATAGTAGCAGATGCATTTGAATGCAGACTGTTCTAAATTTAAACGATACTATTTGGCATTGTTGATCGATCCCTTGTGTTCGTTAGTAGCTGTAAACAATGGCTGAATTTGGGTTATTTTTGTTTCCTTACATTGTATAATAATTATAGTTGTGTTTGTATATTCCATGTTCTATAATTATATGTATGTAAAGAATACGTAAACTACCCCATGCGGTTTATTTAGATGTACCTAATATGGCAGCAAGTTGGCATGATTAGGTAATTTTTATACAAACAAAAGTGTAAAAAAATATTGAAGAGATTGCAAATAAATAAATCTTTATTCATAATAACAATAGCCTATATAGGTTGGTACAAAAATATTTTAATTTAGCGACAAGATCTTATATATTTAGGTATATATATGCTTGTACTAGGTATATTCCTTTGTCACAGGCGATAATAAAATCTTAAAGCACCCCCACAGCTTTTATTCAGAAGTGTACGTATTACAACTGATAATAATTATAACCTACAAATATTGTTATATAATTTTCATTCATAACTTCAGATAAATGGTGCTTGAAGTATTAATAACAAATAATAATAGCGATAAGATACGTTTCCATGAATCGTTGTCAGGTACTGAAAATGAAATACATAAAATAGCTCAGACTTTTATCTTGTTTGCTGACGGAATGCATTCTTTTTTAAGTGAACTGAATTAGATTTTCTAATTTATATCTTAGTATTAAAATAATTAATAAGTTATGTAGGTACATAATATTTATTACCTACAATTGTAGGTTTGGTTCTAATAAAAAAAGTGTTCTCGTAACATGAGATCTGGAATTGTGCCCGGTAACTACAGGGTATAGGGCAATAGTCTCGTTACTCTCTATATATTAGGTACACGAAACTTATAAGTCATATAACTTATATGTCATTAAACTTATAAGTTTTATGTTATCTTAACTTAACAAAAACATAATTGGGTACTTGCAAACTAGTCAAATTCAATACTTTTTTCGAACTGTCAAAAACGACAATTTTATATGAATTTTGTACGAGATTGTGTATTGTGACGTCACGTATTTTTAGAGTCAAACAGCATACTTTGGTATTTCTTAAAAAAATGCAGGAAAAATACTAATTTTTAGTTTTTTAATATTTTAGTGTATTGAACAGTCGAAATAATTTATTTTTGATTAACTCGTCGAGTACCGGTTTTGTAGACACAATTATAGAACAATAGGTTGCGGTCACCGGTGACCGCTTGGTGTTTGACAGTTTAAGGCAAAGTACCCAATTTTAGAGTGTTACATTTACAGTGACGTACTCACGTACCGTGGTCGCACCATAGTATTATAGTACACTGGGCTACACTTCGAGCTATACATAACCAGTATACACTGAACGTTAAATGTGCGGAAAGATGATGCGACGCGATACCAGGATAAACTGGTTTTGTATAGATTGATGTGTGTGTACAATACATATAAAAAATACTCATTGATTGATAACCTATGATGTGTCTTTGAATATAATTTCTTGAATAAACGTTTTGTCATTCAATCAGTGAAAGATATGAATCAGGCGACGTACTATGTATTGTTAAAATGTAGGTATTTAATGCAACATCGATAGTATTGCGTAAATGATCACCTAGACTTACCTATTTACTTTCATTTAAATATATCGAAGGTCTACAAACAAATGGACAATAATACTAAAATAAAGTTCGAGTTCTGAGTAGGTATCTTATTCTCGCTATGCTTTTCCATCATTTTTAAGTTTGAAAGAAAAATAAGCCCTATCAGGTAACGCCAACCCGATTTCTGATCTATTTAATATCTTGACTGCCTCGTTGGCCGAGTGGCCGGAAGTGCGACTACCGGGTTCTTACCCGGGGATCCATTGCTTGAAAGTAATCGAGTTCCTCGCCAAACAGTTACGTGGGTAAGCCGAAAACATAATAATTAAACACATCATTAACCTATCTAGTCTTCAAGTCATGAATAAAAAAATAATGACTCGTTCACATGATCTACACAACAATGCAAAATTCCCATACAACTGCATTATCTCATGAATATTTTTTTATTAAATGCATTTCTAAATTGTACCTAGGTATATCTTTAGCTATCCTGAACTAATGGCCTTGTGATGCAGATTAACTACTATATCATAGATACGTACTTTCAGCATACGGCAGTTAAAAACATAATATATATCTTCTTTATATATAATACTAGCGACCCGCCCCGGCTTCGCACGGGTGCAATATGCATGTATTATACATACAAACCTTCCTTAAGAATCACTCTATCTATTAAAAAAAACCGCATCAAAATCCGTTGCGTAGTTTTAAAGATCTAAGCATACATACGGACATACAGCGAGAGCGACTTTGTTTTATACTATGTATTGATAATTCTGCTGTACGTGTGTATGTCATTGAAATCCTCCTAAACGGCTTGACCGATTTAAATGAATTTTTCTGTATGCGTTTGAGTGGCGCCTTGGATGATTTAAATTCATAAATCAGCCCGGCGCAGATGGCGCTGCAGTCGATTTAAGATTATTTATCCTAATCGGATTTGAGTGATTTTTTGTTTATACGTTCAAGTAGGGGCTTTTAAAAATCGGTATTACGCGTACGAAGTCGCGGGCAGAAGCTAGTATAGAGGTATATATAAAAATAAATCCCTTTTTCCTTTGATTACGCGTGAATGGTTGGACTGATTTCACTAATTCTTTTTTTGTTGTATTTGTTATTGTCAGGATACGGTTTTTATGACAGAAAAAATCCTGAAAATTCTACGGGAACGAGAGAAACTGCGCGTACGGTCGCGGACAGAATCTAGTAAATTACAATTATAAACCTAAATCATCCTCAGGAATCAAACTATGAGTTGAGGAAAACCGTACAAAAATCGGTTCAGCAATTTTTGAGTTTATCGCGTTAATCCAGACATACCGACGCGACAGGGAATTTCAGTAAACAATATATAAGGATACATAATATACAACATACTAGGTGCCACGTACTGAGTAGGTAATATACTTACATAATGTTTGGCACATGGAACGACACAATTTTTCATTATCTACCCGTCTCAAATGTCACAGGTTACATATATGATTTTTTTAATACGGTAGTCGACCACTAGTCAAATTCAATACTTTTATCGAAACGATACTGTTCTATGAATTTTGTACGAAATACCATCTTATGACGTATCATATTTTAGCGTCAAATAGCACACTTATATCTAAAAAAAATGCTAGAATAAATAAAAAATTAAGTATATCAGCAAATCAATGAATGAAATTGTAACTATTTTTCAATATTTAACTGGACTGAAAAATCAAATAAATTTATTTTTGACCAAGGAAACTATCCAATAAAATTTAAAAATATAATCAAAATATATCACTCACAATCTTTATGGGTAAAATGTAAATATTGACCTAACAAATCTTGGAAAAAATTGTGTCAGTTCATGCGTCAAACTCTCTTTATAGGTAGTAGATATGTCTGCTATGTGACGCATAATAACGCAATTCTCCCTATTAAGTACTTTTAATCCGGGAGGATTCATAATCGAGGCAGGTTCCGTATCAAAGAATATTATGCACTCACAGCACATTGACTTAAACTAAATTATTAAAATTTGTTATTAGATTTCAACTTAACTTTAAAAAGATAAGGTTGAAAATCAATTTCAGAGATTGAAGCTTCATAAGCTGCCGTCTGCATATTAACTTGGCATACATGACATGCGCTTTGTCGGTTATTTTTTATAATAATTTTCTTTATCTAAGTATTTCATCTTAGCACCAAATAACAAATAGATATAAACAAACCTTAGCTTCACATTTTGTATGTTCTATCCTTACTATCCTTACTAATATTATAAATTGGAAAGTGAGTTTGTTTGTTTGTTCCACTTTCACGCCGTAACTATTAAACCGATTGCTTTGAATTTTTGCAGACGTAAAGAAGTAGAAGTCTAGATTAAATAATAGGGTACTTCTTATCCCGGAAAAATTGATATTCCCGAGGGAAAACAAAAGTATTGGTATAGATGGCGCTGTGTGTATTGGTATATGTCACATGGGC